GAGCCACTCCAGTTGGGCTACATGTATCTTTTCTAGCATCCAAGCTAATGGAGTCCATAGTACCCAGAGAGATCATTCTAAAATTCAAAGATTATCAAGCTCTCCCTTGATTAAAAGTCTTTACTCCCTTAGAAGAAAATTCTAACTTAACATGATGCATTTAGTCAACTATTTGTCACAAGGATATTGTATAACAAACTACCCTCCAAGTCAGAGGCTTACAATAACAGTCCCTCATTCTCATGCTCATAAGCCTATAGGTTGGCTAGAACTAAGCTGAGTTAGGCTAGATTTCCAGCTCCTGAACTCCAGGATCCAAGCTATAGGAAGATTAGGTACAAATCTGTACACAGCATAAAGTATCTTCACAATAAAGGCCCCCCGCTTTGTCATCCAAGTTCCCAGCACAGAACCTACTCTATAGCAGATGCTCACTAAATTGTTGTTGAATGACTGAATGAAGCCTAATAGGGCCGGCTTTGGGGAAACCAAGAAGTTAATTTCTATGTCTGCCATCTCCCCGTTTTGCATGCCATTTTCTCCTTTATAGTGTGTCTTGTTTAGTAATCTGGTTCCCTTATAATCACTTCTCTCAGCACACTACTAAAAACCACACTCACAAAGGCCATGCATCCAGTAAATGACACATTAATAAAAATAGCAGTCTGTTAACCCTTTCAGATGTATTTGGTATCTGAGCTCTCACTGAGGACTCTGTAGAGGACTTGACCTCTACTAACGGAATTTAAATCACCTTGTAAAAGATAAAAAAATTTAACACTATATAAGTGGCAAGTTACATTTTCCTCCAGGTAAGGTTCACTTGAAAACCAGATTCAACTCCCATTAGTTTATCATATAGATGTCAGTTCAACTCCCTCACAACTGTGTTACAGAAAGGTTCACTCAGGTGCTTTATTTTAAGCCTTCCAGAATAGAAGTTTCCCTTAAATGTAGTATGGATAAAGACAGCTGCCATAGACAATGATCTTCCCATAACACACCAACATACATGCCAGCCTCCCCTATTAATCCTTCAGCCTGTGGTGTACACATGGCTTCTTCCAATCAGATCCCCAGAATGCCCCTAGAAATAGGTCATTTGAAATAAACATCAACTTCGCTTCACAAAGATTCTATGCCTATGTGGTCATAGACAAAAAAAAAAAAGAGTCCTTTGGGGAAACAGGGCATGTAAACAGCAGAGCCCAGGCATCCCTTGCTTCCTGTTCCTTCTCAGTGGCAACTACATATAAGACCTCTCTCTGCTCTCTAAATTGAGTTTTGATAATGTCTGTCCCTCCTTCCCTGATTTGCATTGCCTCACCCTCTCAACATAATACTCATTTGCAAGAACATTACTTAAATCTTATAAGGAGCAGGCTTGTTCCAACTCCCTAAAAAAGTTATAAAATAGCAAACATGACTAGAATGAATCTCTAAGGGAGATTACTGGGGCTGGGAGTTAGGGGGTAGTGTGGGGATGCAGAAGAAACATTTATTGAGCAACTTCCATGCATCACTGTTCTATTGTTTTACAAACAGGATGTAGTTTAACCCTCATAACACTTATCTGAGATACCTGTTTTTATCTCTTTTGTAAAAAGGAAAGCCAAAGCTCAGAGAGGTCAATTAACTGGCTCTTGGATCCCACAGCTAGTAATCAGCAGAAATAGAATTAGAACCCAAATCTGACCAGTTTTCAAAATGCATGTCCCCAGCACCTTCTTCACATCTCCATGGTTGAGTCCACTTAAAGAAAGAATGAAAGACACATTTCTAGAATTGTGTGATAAGCAAGGAACTGTTTTTAATGAACCAATCAACAATCTTCTAATTCACTAAGGACTTGAGTAAAGCCTCATAAGTTCTTAGCTTCAGGTTAGGCAATATGGAAGAGATACAGAAGTAGGTGATGGACTCTATGACCTCCAGTAGCTTAAACCAAGGAAAGGAGAAAAATATCTTGCATCCAGGGAATGAACAAATGCTCAACTATGTAGTACAATTCAGAGGTAGAACAGGCCAGTGTGGACTGAATAAGGAATGAATAAGTCAGGGTTCTAGTTGCAAGAAACTAGATTTAAGCAGAAATAATTTATTTAACAGTAAGCAAAAGTACAATGAGATCTCACTTCACACTCACTGGAATGGCTATAATAAAAAAGACAGAAAATAACAAAGATTATTTGGCAGAGATGTGGAGAAATTGGAACTCTCACACGTTGCAAATGGGGCAATCACTCTAGAAAACAGTTTACCAGTTCCTCAAAAGATTAGTCATAGTTACCATACCAGCAATTCCACTCCTAGTTATAAATTCCCAAGAGAAATCTACACAAAAACTTGCACATGAATGTTCATAGAGGCATTATTCATAAGGGCCAGAAAGTAGAAATAACTCAAATATCCAGTAACAGATGAGTGGATAAATAAAATGTGGGATAGCCATACAATGGAATATTATTTAACAATAAAAAGGAATGGATTACTGCCGAAACCGGTTTGGCTCAGTGGATGGAGCGTCGGCCTGCGGATGGAAGGGTCCCGGGTTCGATTCCGGTCAAGGGCATGTGCCTGGGTTGAGGGCGCATCCCCAGTGGGGGGTGTGCAGGAGGCAGCTGATCGATGTCTCGCTCTCTCATCGATGTTTCTGACTCTCTATCTCTCTCCTTTCCTCTCTGTAAAAAAATCAATAAAATATATTTTTAAAAAAAGGAATGGATTACTAATACATGCTACAACATGAGTCAATCTTGAAAACATACTAACTGAAAGAAGCTAATCACAACAAAACACATATTATATGATTTCATTTATATGAAATGCCCAGAATAGGCAAATCTATAGAGATCTCAAATAGATTCGTGGCTGCCTAGATCTGCGAATAGGGGAAGGATTGGAAAGTGACTGCTAATGGGTATGGGATCTCTTTTTCAAGGACAAAATGTTCTAACATTAGATTGTTATGATCATTGCATGATCTTGTGAATTTACTTTAAAATAATAAATTGTGCCGAAACCGGTTTGGCTCAGTGGATAGAGCGTCAAGGGCATGTACCTGGGTTGTGGGCACATCCCCAGTAGGAGATGTGCGGGAGGCAGCTGGTCGATGTTTCTCTCTCATCGATGCTTCTAACTCTCTATCTCTCTCCCTTCCTCTCCATAAAAAATCAATAAAATATATTTTAAAAGTTTATTTATAAAATGATAAATGGTATGCTTTAAATGGGTGAATTGTATGATATGTGAATTAAATCTCAATAAAACAGTTTTTTAAAAAAATATCGGGGATGGCTTATAGAATCTCTGGAAGGCTGCAGAACTAGTCTTAGAGGTTGTGCAGGCACAAGTAATGCTCCAAATTTTTTAGGCAGCTGAAATGGCAAAGACATCACAGAAAGTGCTGTAGGGCACAGACTGTGTTGCTTGCCTATTCTAGACATTTCCTATAGATGAAATCATACAATATGTGTTTCATTGTGATTGGCTTCTTTCACTTAGCACGTTTTCAAGGTTGATCCATGTTGGTGCATGTATTAGTAATCCATTCCTTTTTTATCCTATACAAGAAGCCAGATGCACGAAATTCATGCAAGAGTAGGCCTTCCTTTCCCCGGCTGCAGGCACTGGCTTCCCTATGGCACCTGGGATCTAGGTTTCCCTTGCAGCCCTGGCTTTATCCAGAAGGTTGTCCAGAAGGATGTCTGGTCTAATTAGCATATTACACTTTTATTTGGGAAGCCTGGGTCCCAGGTGCCTGCTGGTGGTTGGAGGAAAGCCTGGGTCCCAGGTGCCAAAGCTAGTGCCGGCAGCTGGAGGAAGGAAGGCCTACCATTGCACAAATTTCATGCATAGGGCCTCTAGTAGATAATAAAAGGCTAATATGCAAATAGACCGAATGGTGGAACAATCGAACAACCAGTTGCTATGATGTGTGCTGACCACCAGGAGGCATGTGCAGAACATATCAGGTGTTGGCCGCAGCAGAAGAGTGGAGCAGGTGAGCAAGGGTGCCAGACCAAGGTGGGGCACCAGTCGCTGTCATCGGAGCGAGCCTCTGGTGTTTATGAAAATTCTTTGCTCCTGCACACCACAGTCCCACCCGGTGCTTGCACCTAGCGCAGGCCCCAATCACCCTTCAGGGCTTCTCCACCTTCCCCTGCTCCTGAGGGGCAATCAGGGCAGCAGCCGCCACTCACACCCGCTGACAACACTGGCCCCACTCACACCCACTGCTGGCACTGGCCCCAATTGCTCTATGCCATCAGCGGGGGCAAGTGAGGCCGGCACCATCAGTGCGTGGGAGCTGTGGTGGCAGGAGTGGGGGTGTAGAAGTTGAACCAAGACCCGCCCCTGTGCCCACCGCAGCCTCACGGCCCACAGTTCCTTCAAAGTGCACAAATTCGTACACTGGGCCCCTAGTTGTTAAATAATATCCTGCCTATGGTGCCCTATACATTAATATTTCAAATATTATTATGTGAATAACACAAATACATTTCACTAGATTTAATATAAACAACATTTAAAACACACTACAATTATTTACAGTTATGAGACTAACACAGAATTCGGCTGTAGGGACCACAGCCATTACTGCCTCTGGGAGCCAAATTATCTGCCACTGCTACAGACCCGACTAGCCACCAGTCCCTGCTTCTTCTCACAGCTAACTTGGGGTGGGAGTGTTTCAGGGGGAGAGCCTAAATCACATGCTCACACCCTAGCTACAATAAAGGCTGGGAAAGTGAGAATCCAGCATTGTCAGGTTATAGGGAAAAGTGGACTGTGCCTCATGAGGGCGATTCTCCAAACATGGAATGTAGGTGGCCACAAAGAATGACTGATGCTGCTACAGAAAGTCTTTCTTACTGGAAATAGCTTTAGTGCTCTTTTAGGATGGACCAGATTTGGACCCAGAAAAATGAGAAAAACATTGCAGCTTAGGAAATTGCATTAGGTAGGTGGTAATAAAGACCTAGTTTTTGTTTTGTTTTTTTTTGTTGTTTTTTCAGGAATTCCCAAGGTCCTCCAACTTGATGGAAAGATAAGACATGCAGGCATCTCACAGGTGATACTGGAGGCAGAGTGGCATCAAGCTCTGGGCTGTGCACTTGCAGGGATTTAAAAAGAAAGGTTACCCAAGGTGGATTATTAGAGGAAACCCTCAAGGCCCAAATGGCTTGTTAGAATTTCTTTGTAGTCTGGCTACCAGTGGCTTCAGTGATAACTTGAAAGTTAGAACTACCCAGTCCCCCAAGTAGCAGGAAGGAGGTACCCAGGTAGCTTCCTCACTCTCTTCGTTTTGTACCCCTGCATGCATGGGCAGGGAACAGAGCAGTGGAAACAGGGCTGTTTTTGAGGTGTATTCATATGGGGGCCATGGTAACAGCTTGGGAGTGAGAAATGCTATTTCTAGTTTAAGCTGTGAGACCTTTTTGCCAAAAGATTTCTTTTTCTCCCTGTGTCTCCTATGAACACAGGATAGATTGATCCCTTTCTCAGACCATCCCACATCATTTCTTCCTATTCTTGAGTTTGGAACTCTAAATCTTTGTTCCTTCTGTGTAGCTGGGATGATGTAGAGCATTCTGGAAGAAGGTCTGGCCCTCTCACCATAGTTCATTTCATTTTTATGCTCTCTTTCTATCTGGCTTTTCTTAATAGCTTTGAGATGAATTTCCTTTCAGCCTTGCACTGGCCTTGTGAAAGCAAAGAGTTGAGTTATTAGGCACAATAGGAGCATTTATTTATCTGGCTTTCATCAAGATAAATAACAAATTTATCTAAAATCTTAGCACATCAAAAACATCCCAATATATAAAAAATAAGTGTGGTTTACTTAATGGTTTTGCAAAACTTTGTCATAAAATAACAACATGGTAAATTAATTTGTGAAGCAGTATCTTAACCCGAATCACTTATAGCACTATGGGGCAAATGGAAGAGGTGAATTTCAAGAAAGTCTCATGGCATAGAGCTTTAAAAAAAAAATCACCACATCAGCGACATCATACATAAAAAGCAGGAATTATGGATTCACCATCAATAAATTTAATAGCAGCCAGAGCACCATTTGCTAGAAATTCACTTTGAGTCTGAATTATTTTTAAATAAGACATCACACATAGGGTAAGAAAGAAAAAAAATTCCCAGCTCAGGTTCCATTAATTTCCCAGCCAGTAACTTTGAAATAGTATAGAATTTACAGGTCAGCAGCAAAAACTCACTCAACCAGGGAGAAAAATGGGCCATTTCTCTTTAGTGTCCAACTGAAGACCCCACTTAGGAGCTATTTCCTGATTCTTGAAAAGTCTTTTAACTTTATCATTTCTTGATTTTAACTGAGCTGAAGCAGCTCACCATGATACAGGAAAATGTGAGTGGATTCCATTTTCCCTGCATTACAAGGGCATTATCCAGGCCCTGGGGTAGCAATCTGCCTAGATTAGTATTCAAGACTGTGTCACACCAACTGAGAGCAAGACACAAGACACAAATGCTGGCTTTTGTCACTGGCAAGTTAGAAATGCTGAGCCAGTGGAAGAGAGAAATGTGCATGTCTAGGTTTTGCAGCCCATTAGAGGAGGTTGCCTTTCTATTCTGCCTTACTCCATAAAACAGGGCCTATCATTGGGGCTGGGGATTGAGGACTGCCATTTGGCTGCTTCTCACATTCATGAAGAGCTTCAGTCGTTTGATGTCATCATCAAAGGAGGTCAACCATCCAGTCCCAGAGATGCACAGTGACTAAAAGAGGATGACATTTATTATAAAACTTTCATCTATCTCATATCCTGCCTGTGGTGCACTATACATTAATATTTCAAATATTATTATGTGAAAAACACAAATATATTTCACTAGGTTTAATGTAAACAGCATTTAAAACACACTACAATTTTTTAAAGCCCTGTTTTGGAATTTTCCACTTATTTTCTATATGAATAGCCTCAAAAAATAAATAAGACAACAAAAGAGAGGAAAAAATAGTCAGAGCCTCTCTGAACTTCTGAGAGACCCTATCCAGATGGCCATATTTATCTTGATAATGACAAGATGCTATACATTTGATTCAATTTAATTTATTTCAATTATTAATCAATCTTTAGGACCTTAAGCTATAGAGATGATAAAAGAAATCTATAAATATAAACAATAGTTGCTATTCAGTGAGCACCAGTTACATGCTAGCTACTGTACTAGACTTTTTCTGTTATTTTCTTTAATCCATAACAACATTCAGATAAAGGTTATTTACCCCTACACAAACTGAGAATTGGTATTTGTTTAAAATCACCCAGATGATAAAAAGAGGAACTGGGATTTGAACCCTGATCTCTTTGCCTCCAAAGGCGGTGTTCTTAGCTACTACTGAAAGATCATTTAAATGACAGCTACTAATTTTATAGGAAAAATAAAAGACACACTTCAGAAAACATCTCCATCAGTCAGCCCTAGAGGAATCCTGTCAAATTCTACTCTTTGACCTTTTCTACACCTAAGCTCAGCAGCTCCCATCTGTCAGCTGTCTTCCTTCAGACAAATAACTATAGTACAGCTAAGGAGGCCTCAACGTTAGATTTTGTGTCCTAAAGTTAGTCCCTGACTGGGATTTGGATAGTTCGGAAACTTCACTGATTTCCCTGTTAGAGTAATAATCTTATTCTCAGTAATGTGCCTTCAGAAGAAAAACTACCACTGGTTGAGTATTCACTAGCCTAGTTACAGAACATCTTTTAAAAAAATATGTACATATATTTTTTATTTCAGAGAGGAAGGGAAAGGGAGAGACAGATAGAAACAGAAAAATAGAGAATCATTGATGGGCTGCCTCCTGCACGTACCCCCATTGGGGATTAGTCCAAAACCCGGGCATGTGCCCTGTCCGGGAATCAAACTGCGACCTCCTGGTTCATAAATGGATGCTCAACCACTGAGCCATGCCAGCTGGGCACATCTCTTATTTTTAATAAATGTGACATTTTATTTATTTTTGTTTTGTTTTTTCCTTTTTTTTACTTTTTTAAGTGTGACATTTTAATACGTAAGATAGGTACATGAAAAATGTTCAAAAGGTGCAAAAGGATATGTAGTGAAAAGTAAATGTCTACCCACCCACCAGGAGGCAACCACTGTCTTTTAGAGATAGTCCATGAAAACATAAATACCAAACGTACCCATTTAAATGTCAGTGTCCCACCCTGAACATTGCATTTTTAATTGTGTCTTTAAGATGGTTTCACATCTGCATAGAACTGCTTTCTTCTTTTTTATGACCTCATAGTATTCTAATGATGAATATACCATTATGTATTCAACCAATCCCTTTTTGAGTTATTTCCAACATTTGCTATTAGAAACAATGTACAGTGAATGTCTTTCAATTTGTAACAATTTATAAACGTAGACATCTATAGAATTACTTTCTAGAAATGAAGCTGTGTCATATTTAATCTGCCCTTTCCAGAAGTTGTGCCAATTTACACTTGCACCAAAAATTGACTGCTTCCTAATATCTTCTTCACCTACACAAGGTGCTACAAACTTTTGGATCTTTGCCAATCTGATTATCAGTTTTAATTTGCATTTCTCTTATTATAAGTGTATTGAACAACTTTTCATGTGTTTACAAGTCATCTGTATTTCTTGTTTTATAAACCAGCTGTTAATATGCTTTGCCTAATTTATATTGCTTATCCTTTTTCTTATTAATGTGTAGGAACTCTTTTTATATTAAGAAAATAAACCCGATGGGATAGGCGTTACAAATAGTTTTGGGTTTTTTTTCTCAATTTGTTGTTTGTCTTCTAACTTTATTTCTTGGCAAGCAGAATTTTTTCAATGTTATTCATTAAAATGTATCAATCCTTTCTTTTATGGCCTCTGGGATTTGTATCAAACTTAAAAAGCCTTTCTCACATTGATATTGTGGGAATTTTCCTGTGTATTTTATGACTTCATTTTTTTCCTGTTTAAATTTTTTGTCCATCTGGAATATATTAGACAGAAGAAGCAGGTAGTGATCCAATTTGATATTAGTGTTCCAAATGGCTGCCAAATGGCCCAAATAATATTTTGCATTTTATCTTTTTTAGATAAAGTTTGGGAGCACGCTAAGAAACCTAGAAATTGGTCTCACCTTCAGCTTCAGATCCCTTGGAAATCCTGTCCCATGTAGCAGAAGGAAAGCACCATCATTACCGCTCAAAAAATAAGCTGGTATGGTAATATGAATTCTGTATATATTTTGGATATTAACCCTTTGTCAGAACTGTTGTTTGCAAATATCTTCTCCCACCAGTTGTCTTTTTGTTTTGTTGTCAATTTCTTTTACATGCAGAAACTTTTTAGTTTGATATATTCCCATTAATTTATTTTTGCCTTTACTTCCCTTGCCTTTAGGGTCAAATTCATAAAATCTTCCATAGGTCCATAAGTTTAGTAGCTTATGTTCCTCTGTGTAATTTATTATTTCAGATTTTATATTTAAGTCTTTGATCCATTTTGAGTTAATTTTTATATATGGGGACAAACTGTAGTCTAGTTTCATTCTTTTGCATGTGGCTTTCCAATTTTCATAGCACCACTTATTGAAAACACTTTCTTTTCTTCACTGTACATTTTTGGCTTCTTTGTAAAAAATTATTTGTCCATATAAATGTGAGTTTATTTCTGCCATTTGCAACAACATGAATGGACCTTGAGAATATCATGCTAAGCAAAATAAGACAGACAGAAAATGTTAAGAACCATATGATTTCACAAATATTTGGGGTATAAAACTGAAAGCAGCAAATAAACAAACAAGAAAAACAAACAAAAAAATCATAGACAGATTACAGTATGGTGATTATCAGAAGGAAGGGGGACAGGCTGAGGTAGTAGAAGGTAAAGGAAGTCAACTATATGGTAATGGAAGAAGATATGACTTTGGGTGGTAGGTACACAATGCAATATACAGATCATGTATCATCGAAATGTACACTTGAAATCTGGATGATATTAACCAATGTCATTCCAATAAATTTAATTTTTTTAAAAAAACAAACAAACAGAAGCTGGTATAGGAATGTATCTGAATGAGAAGCAAGACAACTGAAATTAGTCCAAGTCTAGGCAGATAATTTTTATGAGGCCGAAAGCATATAAATTTGTGTGTGTATGGGTGGGTGTTATTTAACAAAAATAATAAAATTACAAATACAAAATTAGATATAAACATGAATATTTATTTGATGAATCTTAGTGGGAAGGGCGGTGGTGGTAAGAGATTAATCAAAGAACTTATATGCATACTAGTAGCCCATCGTGCGATATCGTGCGCAGTAGGTTGCCTGCTGCTTCCATGGGAGCTGGCAGAAACCCCAGCGTGCCACCGGGAGCTGCGCTGCGCTGATTCCACGGATTGCGGGCCCGCCATCTCCTCTCCGGGCCTGTGCTCGGCTGCAGAGGCTGTGGGCCAGGCCCCTGTCCCTGTCCGTGTCCACTTTGGGCCTCACCTGTGCGCGCAATCTCCTCCTGTCTGGTCATGACCCGTTACAGCATCCTGGCCTAATTTGCATATTCCTCTTTTTATATATATATACTAGTGGCCCGGTGCATGAAATTTGTGTGTGGAGGGACGGGGTTATCCCTCAGCCCAGCCTGCATCCTCTCCAATCTAGGACCCCTCAAGGGATATCCGACTGCTGGTTTAGGCCCGATCTCACAGAGAGTTGGACCACTGACAGTCTCCTCATCCCAACTGCCCCCCCACCAACCTGATCACACCCAACCACCATCTTTGTCCCGCTAATTTGCATACTCACTCCTGATTGGCTGGTGGGCATTGCGATGTGATGGTCAGTTTACATATTTCTCTTTTATTAGTGTATATATATATAGATAGATATGCATAACCTATGGACACAGACAAAAGTGGTGAAGGCCTGATGTAACGTGGAGAGGATCAATGGGGGAAAGAGAGATAGAGGATATCTGTAATACTTTCAACAATAAAAATAAACTTTGAAATATATAAATAAAATAAGAGGAAAATTATAATATATTTTTAAGAATTTTTAAGTGAAAAAAATTCTGCAAACATTAGAAAGCACAGTAAAATAATATATTTATTAATCTTCCCCTCACCAGCCTGATCACACCCCCTGCCCTCCCCTGCTTGCCCCCAACTGTCCCCCGTGCTGGCCTGCTCACTCCCACCTGCCCTCCCCACTGGCCTGCTCGCCCCCAACTGCCCCCCTGCTGGCCTGCTCATTCCAAAACTGCCCCCCTGCTGTCCTGATCACCTCCAACTGACCCCCACTGATACCTTGTTTGCTCCTAACTGGCTCCACTGCTGGTCTGCTTACCCCCAATGGCCCAGCCCCCCACCAGCCTGATCCCCCCTAAC